CCGAAATAAAATCGAAAATGCGAGCAGCACGACGTCGTGAATGCTGTCTTCCCGCCGATTTCTGCTAATGTATTACATCAGGAAGTTTGTTTGAAGTTTTATGGCCAAGTTTCGATTTGTCAAGCAATCGCACACAACTGTAAATGTGGGGATGGGGGAAAACAGCTGATTGGACCTATCGGCTATCGACCAGGGGTGCGGTATAAGCTGAGGAATCTTGGCGCGCTATTCAAACCACAAAAGTCTAACACGTCATTAAACTTGAATAGAAAAAGATTCACCAGTTCGCTGAAAGCAAGTCTAATATTTTTGTTTCCGATTATTTAATAAATAAATAAAAATTGTTATTGCAATATCATCTACTTATGCTTGCCTATTTGAGCATTTAAATTTATTAGAATTTACACGTAAAAACCTAAGTTGCACTTATACTTACAATGTGTAAATTATTTTACTTCACATAAAAAAGAGAAAATCTGATTATATTATTTAACTTAAACCTATTTTATATTAGTTGTCAGTGGCTTTATTAATATTAATCAGAAATCATAATTTTTATAAAAGCTGTTTGAATTAAAATTGTCGATAACATACCCCATACCTGGTTGGAATCTAATAAATCGCCGGTTCTTGAAAAATTTGCCATTCACATTTTTTACATGGATCATAAGTCAGTTGGCTGTCGCTCACTTTGTTGCAGTTCTTGGAAGCACTCGGTTGCAATCTAAAATTGTTCAACTCTTTTCGCAAGGATTTCATCGACTTTTAAACAGACAAGCTTTAAAATGGCACAGTCCTATTTTATCCGATTTCTGCTTTCAAACATGCATTTGTGGAAGACCCTGCTTCTGTTCCTGGCTTCCTGCTCGGTTGTGTACTTTGAATTGGACTCGCTGGCTGCCGACTATTTGTTCGAGTTGCTCTCGGAGAAGTGGCGAGGAGGAGCTGTCTGGAGGGACTATCATGAGGTCATTTTTTATGCAGTTTGTGTGATCTGGTGCTTCGGGATCATCATGCTGATTCGCGCCATGGTTACGTAGTACCGCTGAACCTTACCTTGAAGCCAGACCGGGAAGAGTACGGCGAGGACGAGAACATCGGACCATGACTCAGCATTACTGAATTCACAATAAAATCATTCACCAATCGCCATCCGCATTTTATTTTTCTCGAAGTGTCATTCATGCTGACAATTCTTTTATATCCACGACCAATGGACAGGAGAGAAACGGTACCAACCGTCTCTATGACACATCTCACCTTTCTATGATTAAATTATTTTGCTTAGTTAAATCAAGACTGAATTTCAATTTTTTAAGAACTAGAACTTCTAAACAACTCTAATAAGAAGACTTTTATTAAAAACCAAAAATACATACCTCTTAAATATCTGTTGGTTACATGACACAGCAATTACTTTATAGCACCCTGCAAGCATTTTCTATCGCGGAAGGCACTATTAAGTGACTTCGAGAAGATGAAAACGATCGTCCGCGATATCGCATTCGGATCGCGGAAGTGACTCCCGTCGGGAAGAAATGTGCCACTTCGGCGACACTTCTCGAAGTCACTTCTGCGTTACTTCTGGAAGTGTCGCCGAAGTCACTTCTGGAAGTGTCGCCGAAGTGACTCCGAGAAGTGCCGCCGAAGTGGCACATTTCTTCCCGACGGGAGTCACTTCCGCGATCCGAATGCGATATCGCGGACGATCGTTTTCATCTTCTCGAAGTCACTTAATAGTGCCTTCCGCGATAGAAAATTCTTGCAGGGAGATAGGCCGCTGCCGACCACTCAATAAATGGATGTTCTTGCTTGAAAAATGTCATATTAATTTGCCCCTTTTCCATTTTAGAAAATGGAGCACGGTTGCTTTGTCACAAAAACGTGGTAGAGCCTGGCACTTGTCCCTTAAGCCACGTTTATATTATTTTCTTTCGTGAGAAAATGCCTTTGTAAGTTCAAACAATTATTTATTTTCACCAAAACAAAAAATGCTTACGTTTAAAAAAATTAAAAAAACATTTAAGGATCTAATTTGAAAGAAAGACATTGGGTGCAAGAAAGGGTCGAAACATTTTAAAAAGTTTAAAGCTTCTACATAAATAAAATAAAGTAAATATTGGATGGACCATATACATATATTTGAATAAAAACGGACTTTCATATACAACAGAGCTTGAGTATTTAAGCCAATTTTTGTTGAATAAAAACGGACTTTCATATACAACAGAGCTTGAGTATTTAAGCCAATTTTTGTCTGACATGGCTAGATTGAGTCGGATAGTGATCCTGAAACGCTTTCTTTTACATGTTACATACTTTCTGACGAATCTAACAAACCGTTTTACTCTAAGAGTAACGGGTTTAAAATATTCGATTGTAGTTTACAAACTAGCACACACATTAAAGTTAAAAAAAACTTTTTTTGTGGGGGAAAGGCCCCTTAGAGGTTCCCCACGTCCAGTTCGTCCACAAGCGTTGAGCTGCCTCTCGGCTCGTCTGAGTTTTCCGCGACTGGAAAACAGAAAACGTTAGCTGGAAACACAAAGACTTGGACTTACCTAGGTGGCGGCTCATGGGAGACAAGAGGTAGATGACCTCGGCGTCTTCGTTCTGGAGAGGTCAAGGATAGACAAACGGACGGTTATGGCTAAATAACGGGTATATCATTTTAAGACCCAGCGCCATCTAGGCGGACTGCGATGAAACTTGCTCTGAAGGTGTGCGTCTCCGCTTTTAATTTCATTTAAAGAATCCAGTGTTGCTAGAATCAAATTATTAGGATCCCGAAATTATCCGCTCAATCGGCTGATTTTTTTTTTGGTTTTTTTTTTATCGATTAGCTGTAATTTAGTGAATATTTATGTAGTATTTAGGCGGTTGTTAGTCGTTTTATCTTTAAAGAGTAGTAGGATATTAGTGCTACCAGATCGGAATAAAATTAAACTCACATTAATGGAAGAGGAAGAACGCAGGGCCCTTGATTAAAAAATTAGAACTCCTACGAAAACAAGAAAATTTAATTATCTTTGATTTATTAAAAAAACATTGTTATAAAGTAAATAATAACTTATATAAATTTAAATACTTAAAGTTTTTTTTAAGCCAACTCTATTGCTACCCAGACCAACAAAACACAATTCATTTTCGTGGAATAGAATGTATTCGGTTGAAGAGAAAGAAGGTTGGTGCTGAAAGCAAAGAACGTATGGCGCCTTTATTCAAGAACTGGAAAATGGTTGAACTTTTTATACCAGTTACTCGCAAAAGCCGAAAAAAGTAGTTTTTAAAAATTTTTAAATAAACATTTGTTTTTTACTTCTTAAAAGTCAAAAATATTTTTGTATATACTAAATCACTGAAAATTTGAGAATAATAATACCACTTCGTAGCGCCCACATTTTTAAAATTTTTTTTTGTAAATTTAGTAGTTAAATTATTTTAAGATTGATCAACAAATGAAAGATTCTTAGTCGAGTAACGGGTATCTTGCACTCGACTACAGCTTTCTATCTTTTTTTAAAATAGAAGGTTTTTATAGTGTAAGAAAGGATAGTTAATGACTAACTAGACACCCGAAACTCAATATTAAATTACAGTTAATTTTGTGTTATGTGATAAACAAATCTGACTTAAACCAAATAATAGTTGGCTCTCGTTCTCTCTGCCTCCGAATCTCCAGTGACTTTTCCGGGGGGTGGTGGGAGGCCCGGCACGTGGCTCATTTAGCTTGGAAATTGCTTTCCTGAGAGCGCCGTCGCATTGAAGTGAAAGCGAAAGTTTGCCGCTGACCTACAGATGAAAGTGGCACAACGAAGAGACATTTTTGGGAAAGAGAGGCCACAGACTTGAGCCAAAGAGAATGTATCTTTGTATCTGTATCTGCAGCCCGCAGAAGTGCAATTTCCATTTAAGTGGAATGACAGTTTATGCATCTTGTCGGAAAGTTCGCCCAGTCAACGCACTTTAAAAATAACAGAGAGCGCAATATACAAAGATATTTCACTGTAAGATACATTGGGATCCAATCCTCAATTTTTTGTAAGAGTGTAAGTGAGATATAGCACATAGAAAGTCTGGCTATTTCACCTAACGAAAACAATTAATAAAATAATTAAACGAAAACAAAAATCGAGCAAACAGTTTGGGTGTGCAAATATAAACAAAAAATAGAAATGTTTAAAAATGCCGGCTCCACAAATGAGTAAAGCAATAAAGAGAACTAATATTGAGAGATATCACCGCGAGAAATCGAGAGGCGCTGAGAGCGTAGTTCAAACAGCAAACAAACGCTGCACAGTGGTAATTGATAAGATAAGAGTTTGTATTTTCTGAAAAGAACCGAATAAAAAATAAATAAATTAGGTATAAAGACACAAAAACGTAGACCCTAGTACTATACAAATATTTTTATATTTAGTTTATTATTCTTGAGTTACTCCAAGAGTAGTTTTAAGAAGACCAAAAAATTAAATAAATATATACATTTTTTTGGCTTTAAGCTAAAATTATTTGTTACCTTAAGACTTAAGGCTTGAACGTATTTATTAATTAATTTAACTTCTTATAGATATTTTTTTAAAATTAATAAAATATTTTATACAACAAGTGACGTAAAGTTCAATTCTAGTCGAATATGGTAGAACGAGCTTTTTCGGTTTTTATTTGTGAATGTCAAAGAGCTGTTTAAAATGTATTTTCGGGTTAAATATTTTCAACAGGTGTCTAAGAATGTTGAAAAATAAATAATTATTAGATATAACTTTTTTAAATCGAACACTGTTTTTCAATTTAACCACCACTGTCCAACAGCTAAAAAGTGTGCTCTCTCGGCTGTGTGCCTCTCTCTTATCGTTGACATTTAGAACAATATCTGGCAGAACCACCCAAAAGCCGCCCACTGAGAGAGAGAATTCCCGAGAGAATCGGCCAGAGAAGCGGTGGCGATGAGAGCGAAAGTGAGGCCTGAAAGGTTGCAACTTTTGGCGAGACTTGCCTCAGTTGCCACACGACAGGACGGCCAAACGGGCGATTGGAGAGGCACAAGACTCAGGCCTGGGCCAGAAGCGTATCCGTCAGATACACCGCTAAGCAAATTAATAATCTTAATTAAAGCGCTGCGTGACAAGGCCCCCTCTCCCCCCAACACACCTGTCCTCTCCAATTTGCGAAAAAATTAAACGAAATAATTCTCGAAAATCTTTGTATCTGTGTATCGGAGAACTGAAAAGAGGCCGTCGTTTGGCGCTCTCGCATCTCAGTTGCCAGTGGGCGAAAGACGCAACTGCTGCGACCTTGCAATGCCCTTGAATGACACTCTTATTGCGACCAAGTCGCCAACGTTGCCACTCCAACGGGCGCTGCTACCACGGCTGCCACTCAGCGCTGGCAAAAATATTAACATAAATAATAATAATAGCTAAAAATCACATAAACGCACATAAGAATAAATGAAGCCCAAAACAAAACGCTGGGCTAAATAAAAGTGAAAATTCTATTGAAGTCAACTAGTTTTCGCGTGCCTTCGTGAAAGCCGAACACATCCGACGGGTCCTTATCAAAGCCTTAACCCAAATCAAATCGAGTGAGTGCCGATAAAAAGAAAATAAATAAATTTGAATTAAAGATTCACATGCTAAAAAAAAATTAAATTAAAATAAAGGCAAACGTATCTGAAAAATCCTACAAAAGAAAGTGTTATCTAACTAGCGCCCCCTGGCGGCTTGTATACCTGAGTGTGAGTGCGCCGAATGAAAGTGAAAGTTCTCGACGGGCGATTATCCTTCGGTAACCTTTCTCCCACATCGGGTCACTTCCTTGCCATCGAAACATAAACGACATCCGGGCACGCAATAACCAAAACGCAACATATATAGTAACTATATATACCTAGAATCGGTATATGTAGGCGAAATTTATGCCACATCTCTTGACAAGCAATTCTTTTTATTGCTTCGCCGTCGAGCGCGAGAAAAGCACTGGCAAAGGCCAGAAAGGGAACGCCTTGGAATAATATTAAAACATCAGGTAGGTAAATCGTAATTTTTAGAACTTTGACTTCGAGCTTTACACGAAAACATTGCGTGCGGATTTATATTCCTTCAATTGATGCTGCTGCAATTAGCGTGTGCGTACATCCATCAGATACATTTGACATTGCTTTTGCCGCTTAAAGTCAAATCTTCATAGATCTGGATATGGAGTTTTCGCCATTTCTCAGTAACATGAACTAAACTTAAAAGTCAAAACGAGTTCAATTGGGTTCAAGTTCAGGGGTTCAACAAATCTACCAGACTACAACAATCAATTTAATTACTGACATGTTTAATACGTAAAGTTGAGCATATGTACAGTTGATCAACCGGTTCTTGCACTACTAATTTATACAAATTGGAATTTAAAGGATTTTGTTTGTTAATGAAATTTTATATATTGGGTAAATAAATATAAATATTATATATACGAGTATAAATTAATTTACTTGAAATTGTTCTGTGCTAAAGCCACAACATAACTAATTTTGTAGAATTTTTAAATATAAGTTAATGTTCAATGTAACTTAAAAATATCAAAAAAAACTGGTTTGCTACTGAAATAGTATTGCAAATGTAATTATATAATCTAGTTTATTAAATTGGTCTTAATTGACCACAGTGTGTTCTTAAAAATAATAACAACATTTTATACTTTAACACCATGTACTTAGGTAATCAAAAATGTTATCAGTTATTTTCCTAAATCAATATCCAAATAGCACATTTTCTTAGCTGCCGCAATCAAAACAAAACAATCCAAATCTCGTTGTCACAGTAATCAAAACAACCCAAGACCCTCGCCATTCTCCGGTCCCCAACAATAACCATAAAAAGGGAAAGCGAAAGCCAGCTGAGAGCGAAAGTATCCTTCCCCCGAAGTATCTTTGTATCTGTAACTTAGTTTTCAGAACGGCGCAAGCGTTTTTCCAGTTTTTTTTGCCTTTCACGGTGCTTGGCTTTGTTTGCTTTTGACATTTCGTTGGATAGCAATGTCATACAAATATAAATAAAAAAATCCACGCGCTGCCGAAAAGCGAAAAAACTGAATGTGGAAACCACCCACATCCGAAAACACGCACTCACACAAGCACGCAATGTATCTGGTGGATAGGAAAACTACGGAAAGCTAATTAGCGCTTTAAACGAGGTTCGTGTAAGCCACTTGTACTTCCTATTGATTGCCTTGAAGTTCTGATGCAAATCGATTTTTTTTGGCGGTCGGAGGATTCCAAATCCGTATTCCCGGGAATGAGCCACATGCGCCAGTCTAAATTTCAGCTAATTCAACATTAATATTATATATTATTAACTTTGGTTTATTTTTAAATAGAGAAGCCAGTCAGCTGTTGTGGTTTGTTGATGGGTGGAACGCGTATCTATAGGGAAATTTTCAATGTGCGGGCGGCACTTGCCGGCTTGCAAAAAAAATGGTCTGAACTGAATTTGTGCTAATGATATATGGGACAGTGAATGACAGCGTGAAAATGTTCTCTAATGATATTTGTTTAGTTCTTGAATATCTTTGAGGAAACATGAAAGACTTTCGATGTCTTTCCAAATGTGTTATTCCTGAATTTATATTACTTAATTCATAGCGGAATAGTTGTTACAATTATTCTAAATATTTTTCAAACTCCTTTGATCGTACCTTGTTTATTATTTGATTACAAAATTAGTTGTGTACTTAAAAGCATCTTGATAAACATTAAAAACTTTATCTATCGAATTTGAATTACTTTGCGGACAATCTTATCTTATCACTACTCTTCATATTTATAATTAATTGCCTGTTTAGACCACATCTCTAAGCATATTTGCTTTGTAGAACAGTTCAATGATCCGCTAAACAATCTTATCACCTTTGGTCTCACCTGTCAGCCATCAATCTAACTCAAATCGTTCCGTGCTGCCAAATCAGGATTACAAACTATTCCGGCGCCAAATCCAAACACTAACAAATTAGTTACCTAATCTCATGCTCAAATGCAAAAACCGTCCCCTGATTAGGGTCATATCGAATATGGGCCCATAATCACAGCAGGTAACACCGGGGGGTTTTTCAAAGCCCACGGGGCTTAAATGACTGCGAATATTTAACGCTGATAGTTTATCTGAGGGAAACAAGGTTGATATGGCTAAAGCAATATGTTTCAGTATTTACCAATTTATTACAGTAACAGAAAATCGTTGGCTGATTATTCGATGTGTGTTAAATAACACTCTGGAGTGATAAATGCTTTTTGCTTTTTTGTGCTAGCTGTATATTTCTCACATAAAATAAACTGCCTTGTTTTTTTTGAATATTTTTTATTAAAAACTAAAGCTAATTTACAAATCTTATATGTTGTGGTATATTGGAATAAAAATATTTACAAAGTTTTTATGCATTTCCGACTCGAGAGTTAGTTACTTTAGGTTCAAATGTTATTTTATACTATTATATAATAATTATAATAATTAATCAGCGGACTTAAATATATTTAATTTTTATCGATTTTTAAATTTTTATAATTTTATACTTAGAAGTATTTGTTATAACATATATTAAATTTTTTCCTTTATGGGAACTTCTAAACATTAAAATGTTGGACCCATAGTAACTGCGTTACATATGATTAAGGAAATAATAACATAGATATGAAAACATACTTCTTAAAATCTATTCAAATTTGTATGCAAGTTAACTAGAAATGATATGAACTAATGTTTTAACTCAAAATACGTGTATCGTTGTTATGTTTTGACGTACCATTATAAATGGCCAGTTCCCTCTTATTTTGTAATACTCCCCGTCGGAAAAGGGCACTTCAAAGAGCAGTTAGCTAAGATTAAGATTGAGACAGACATCCGAGGCTGCGACGTCACTGATCACGAGCATCTGTCCGTAGCGGCGGGTGTCTGCCAGAATCGAGAGGCGCTGCCGCTACCTTTTAGGATGCACTGCGACTGCAGATACAGGGGAACAGTTACAGATACAGATACGAATTCGGATTCGAACTGAGGTTCCCGCGGAGGCGGATGCGGATGCGGGGTGAGTGCAATCAGCTTGAGGGCAGTGTTTGGCTACGATTTGCGATTTCGCTCCGCTGCGCTTCGATTTCGATCCGATCCCATCGCATCCCATCCGATCCGATCCGTTCCGATTTTGCCTTATCAATCTGGGTGGATTGTGGATTTTCTGAGTGCCAAAAACAAAACAAAAAGATCGGTGGGTAGTCAGTGCATGCCCGACACCGTGACGCTGCAGACGTGGTGCAGTTCGAGTGGTTTTCGGTTGTTTTGTTGGTTTCCCCAGCTGGTTCGGGCTCGAGAACCCAAGGATTTTTAATACCTGGAATTATTAAAGTCCCAAAAAGAGATTTGTGTCGAGCCGATCGGTTATATCACCGTCGTCTAGTGTAAGTGAAAAACTCACGAAGAGTGCAGTCGTGAGAGAGACGTTCGCGTTTCGCGGTTCGCGGGTCAATTCTGATTTCTATAAATAGAACTGCAAATTCGTTATCACGCCTCATAATCGAGACGCCGCCGCAGCATGATTAAGTGTTCCGTTCGCCGCACCACCCAACCTCCCAGCCACCCAATCCACCCACTCACCCACCCATTGCCCACTGGCAAATATCATGTGTGGTTCAGGTGATAAGCCGCCGACCGGCAATAAAAATATAGAGCTGATCGGTAGGCCTAGAAACATCTAATCGAACTATTTAAATGGTGCGAACAGCTAATGGCGCATCTATCTCTGGACCAGTGACTAACTAATTGACATGACAAATGCAACTGGGAGATGCAGCTGATAAGAATGTCTGTCACCCCATCAATAATAGCACCTGAAGGACTTGTAAACAGATGAGAATATTGCTTGCTCCAGGGAATTTCCGATTAAATTAAAATAGATTTGATCTCTTGAAGTGTTCCTCTAAAATGTATAATTTCAACATCTAAAGATCTTAGAATTAACAAGAATTTACTCATCTTCAAATATTTTTGTTTCTCTCCTAACCTTTTTTCTAAAACAAAAAGTGTAATTAGTAAAAAAATACATAATGATATTTTTTTAAATACTTAATGTTATGAAATATTTAAATGTATTTACTTTTCTGTTAACTAAGTCCAACAAATATCTTAATGGGACTTACTTATAGGTGTACAAATATTTGTGAAAGCATTTTTAAAACGCTTACAATTTGGCGAGAGATACAAATACCAAAAATATTCCGTTTACCTTGTTTATGTTTGATAACAGATTTATAAAATGGTTCTATTAGTGCAGTTTAAAATTGGCACCTTAACAGCACCTTGACTTCCTTCGACAAACCTCCAGTATGAAGCAATCAAGCATAATTCAAAGATATTTTTTACTGCGTGAGTCGTCGGGGTGTCCACTTTAATATCAATTCCGTACATTTCCCCCAATTTAACTCAATTAAGCGGCTTTATGGGTGTCTCTTGCCTCAGTGCGTGTATCTACTTAAGTCAGATACTTGAAGCGAAAGACATTTTGCAGTTACGCAGTTACGGTCAAAACAAAGCGTGAATTCGCCAAGCTAAAAATGTGAAAGAATCGCAAATAAAATGGCAAATATAAGAAGAATAAAACGGAAATGTTACTTTGGCCGTAAAATAGAAGTCAAAGACATATGTTGTCTTAGATTTATTTATAGATTTCGTGTTCATTTTATTTATTTTCATTTCTTTTTCTGTACACATATTTTATTTATAAATGTGAGCTTGAGACGCTGCACTAGCAAATTTTTTTGAATAGAATATGATTCAGAAAAGATTCACATTTAAAAGGATTAGAAAAATTGCTGATTTACTTATAGTCTTAAAACTACAATTTTTTTGGTTGTCTAACTATTTTTATCGTATTTTGTGTCGCTTAATTTATTTTAAATGCTTCCCTAATGTGACAAATTATAACGCCAAACGTAATTATAAAATAACTCAAACCACTTTTGATTTTAAATGTATACATTTGGTTTTGTAATGCTTTTCTTGACCCAACGTCATTAGCGCCCAAAACGCATTTAGCCACTTGGCCAAAGGCCAAAAGAATATTCAACTTATCTATAGGCAAAAAAATGAATAAAGGTACTGAGCTGTAAGGGATGTCTGTGAATCATGAGATATCTGCCATAAGTATAAGTGGAATCACCTCATATGCAGCGGCATCTGTATACTAAATGGCTTTAAAGAGACCTGCATTCGTTTATTTAATTTTAGGGAAATTTTAAAGAGATCGGCATTTTGACCTCCCTAATCGATCGATTGTCAGACGATCGTTTGTTTATTTAAAAACTTTGTCGACGCCATTTGGCGAGGGAAAAAATTTCAATTCAATCTTTATACTTCTTTTTACTCATTTTACCGCTTAATTAAATTTCCTATGCATGCTGCCAAAGATAAAAAGTAAAATACATAAAACGAAGAGAGACGGAAAATCGGAATAGACTAAAAGAAATGCCGCGGAAAGTTCAAGGCCAATTGACTTTGTCTCGTCTCTATTGGCGCATCTAATTTCGAAAACCAAAACTCTGATGTGTTAATTGGGCGGCACTTCCTCTCCCAATTAAATCGCCTTCTCGCTCCCATTATATAGACCGATTAATGGGCGTGGCTTGGCTTTGCACCTGATCAAAGGTAATGCACGTGCAGCTATCGCAAAATAAAAACAATAACATTGCCATCTGCCAAGAGCGTGAGAAGTGTTAACAAATTGTTATGGTCACACGGTTCATCGGGAATTTCGATGACATAGTCACGTGATTTCAACACCTGACTTGTAGAAAAAAAACGATCTTAGGGGTTTCAAAACTCTTGGAAATTCAGAGAAAAAGTAAAATACAAAACAAATTTATTGTACTATTTTATTTGTCTTGGTGGTAATAAAATATACCATTTCCCAACTATTACATATTAATAAAAATAACATTTAAAAAAATTTTAATTGTTTTGGTTTACTATTTATTTTACTTGGATGAGAATTCAATTGATTATACTTTGTTCTAATAATTTATAGGATTTCGAAGCAAGAAACATTTAATTTCAGCTGTGTAGAAATCAGATCAGAATATGATTCCGCATTGTCAGCCCTCGTGCTCAAAAGTTTATTTTTTAGTTTAAGGATACATTATGAAAGATTAACAGAAAGTTTTAGAATTCCTAAAAATATTTTTGCTGACTTATTAACATTTTGGCAAGCCAGAACAAATTAAACTGACATCTTCTTTCAATAGTCTATTTTAATTTTAATGACATCCAACTAAATCAAATAAAAAGCCAAGGCAACGAAAGAGAAATGAAAAACGCTCTGAGGATAATAAAAGCATATATACTGGCGAAGATTCTTCCCCAGCTGTTTTAAAATGCCACCGGGAACATGGCGAAAGCTGAAAGGGAAAGTGGCGGAAAACAACATTTCGCGTGAATTTATTTGTTTACTTAAAAACTGCTCGTCGCGATTCAATATATCACTCACGTCACATATCCCGATGGTACTCTGTTTGCAGATATTCCGCAGATCGGTTGCAGCAGACACGGTTGTGTGCTGACGTGACGTAAATGAACGATCCCGGCGATATACCACTGACACACACGGGTACTCCGGACAGCAGGCCGCCCTGCAGCATCATCTCCATCATACCAACCATAGGGATGTCCTCATGTCGCGGAAGAGCCGAGGCGTTCGCTCGGAGTCTGTCCTCCAAGCTGCGCACCTTGGGATCACAGGTGAATATCAAAGAATGTTAAATACAAAATCAATTAAACAGAGGTTTGTGTAGAGTATAAAAGGTATTGATCAGGTATACTTACAACGTCATCATGGAATAAATTGACATTATATAATGTATTTATATAATACATTTGACGACTACTTTAGTACACTGTTTGTGAGGCGGCAGAGAGCGAGCAGAGCTACTTCCTATGCCCTCTTACTGGGAAGCTGCCGACCGCTGGTTGTAGTTCGCTCACTTGAGAAATGATTACCACTTTCATAGAACTTTTTTAAACCTTATTGGTGATTTTAATTATTCCATTGGAGTATTTTCTTATTTTGAAATTTAAATTGCCATGTTTTTAAATATAAAGCACTTTTTCTTTGGTGTTCTAACAAAATATTTTTTATTTGATAGGCAAGAAGTGAAGGTGTGCTTTTTATGCTTTGTTTTCTTTTATTTGTTATAGAAAATTGTAATTATCTGTTTTTACTGCAATTTGTACTAGGATTTAATATGCACTTTATTCGAGACTTTAAAAAAGATTAGTCCAGGGTTAAAAAATTGTATTAAATATCTTTATAACTGAAATTAAATTTTTGTATTTGACTTATGAGCTAGAACAAATCTAATAAAGAATCTTCAACCGCAGACAACCGAGGAGGGCGATGGCAACGCGGAGGTTGAGCCAATCATCAATGGAACCAGCACGAACACGTGGGTGAACTCCCACGACTCGGAACAGACGGTGACGGACCTGCAGCCCCTTCGCCATGAGTCCGACTCCTTCTTCGACTTCGACTGCGAGCTGGAGTCGCCGGGGAGTCCCGTGGACGAGTGCGAGTACCTGCGCCTGATCGAAACCGCCTCGAATACGCCGCACAACTCTACGGCGGAGTCGGGCTACGCCTGCGCTTCAATGGCCAGCAGTCACAGCAGCAGCACCGACGGCCCCTACTTCGATGCCTCCGCTTCCGCTTCCACATCCACAGCCGCAGCTGCCCAGGACCAAAAGCTGCCAGCCTCGGAACTCAAGGAGTATGTGAATACCATACAGCAAAACGGCAGGCATGGACTGGTCAACGGAGTACAGGAGAAGGAGCAGCCAGCTGTTGAGGAGCCTGCTCAGGAGGACGAGGCCTTCTTGCAGGCCCAGATCCTCAATGAAATTCACCAACACAGCATCAGTTTGCGGGCCGTGGAACAGACCAAGCCCGAAGAGGAGCCGCTCAGCAATGGACACCTCGAGGAAGCGGAGGAGATGGAACTGAAGGAAGTCCTAGAGGTAGCTGGTACTACAGACAGAGCTCCAGAGTTGGTCTCCACAGAAAGAGCACACAAAGAGGTCTCACAAGAGGAGGAAGTCTCCACTGACAGAGCCCAAGAGGAGTCCCCTCACGATAGAGTTCAAACAGAAAGGGTTCAGGATGAGATCCCTTACGAGAGAGTTCAGCAAGAAACCCCCATCGACAGAGTCCAAGAGGAAGCCTCCAACGAGAGGGTTCAACAGGAAGCCTCTACAGAAGCCTCCTCTGAAAGAACCCCCACAGAGGAGACCTCCTCCACCGACAGGACCCTTCAGGAAACCGGAGACCTGGAACTCTCGCCAGACAGTGGCGTGGACGAAACAGACAAATCGGCCAGCAATCTCACCGTGAACGTGGACATGGCCCAAATCGAACAGGCCAAACAAGATGCCACTGAGGCTGTGGAGAAGAGTGGTGCCCAGAGTCATGGTATCGATACCACAGACGACGAGGACGATTGCAGACCCCAGCGCATCAGGCGCTGTTCCTCCCTAAAAACGGGAAAGACACCGCCTGGAACTCCGGGCCGCAAGAAGATAGTGAGGTTCGCCGATGTCCTTGGCCTGGATCTGGCCGATGTGAAGACCTTCCTGGACGAAATACCCACCATACCGAAGTCGGCGTTCGAGGACCTGGAGATACTGGAGTCGGAACCGCCCCTTCAGATGGGCCCCAAGTCCGACAAGCTACTGATGCCTCTGTTCCAGCAGCCAGGTGGCCTGCCCAAGTTCCTCGATGCGGTGAGGGAGAAGCAGGTGTCGCTGGAGAACGCCGCCGTGTCGGACAACATCAACCAGACGATATCCGGATCGGTGCGCGTCCGGAATCTCGACTTCCACAAGTCGGTGCACATAAGGTACTCGCTGGACGGGTGGAGGAGCTATGCCGACCTGCAGGCCAACTACGTGGAGAACTCCTGCGACGGCTTCTCCGACATCTTCACCTTCGTGCTGTTCGGGAACTCGCTGCACGTGGGCCAGCGGCTGGAGTTCGCCGTGCGATTCCAGTGCAAGGGCCAGCAGTTCTGGGACAACAACTACGGGGCCAACTACTGCTTCCAGTGTCTGCCCAGCTCGACACATACCGCCGGCAGCTCGACGGCATCGCCCCCGTCCGTGGTGACTGGCCCCGTTACCTCAGGCCACGGTGCCAGTCTGGTCGGAATGCTAAGCCCCACGGCGGGCGATGCCTGGTGCAGCTCCTTCTACTAACCGGTGGCGATGGGCCCGCACTAATGGCACTTGCACACCGTACAGAATCCATCCCCCATCCATCCCCAACCCACGGACACGACACCAAGGTCTGGGTTCCTCCCGACCTTGAAGTTGTGTCTACCTACCGAGAGAATTCGAATCCCCAAGTCCCAGATGACCGGCCAGACAGAGATCACAGATCAGAATACCTACCTTCATTGGGCTACCTCTTCGTTAGGGTGTTTCGATCTTGCAATGGAAATTCTGAATGGGAATAAGTAATTTTATGACAGTTCTTCGAGTCAAGTATCCACATCTGAAACTCAATTCACAGATAGATGTCATATTTGAACACTCCTTTACAAGAACTGCGTTTTTATCTCAGTTTTATAGCCTAACGGGAGCTATAAATAGAACTAGCAATCTATAAATACCTAGAGCTGATATAGGTTCAACACCTTATCAGTTCATAAAATAACTTAGATAAAAACTGAGTTTGAGTAAAAAGGTAGTTACTGTAAAATACCCACGAACTGTCTTTAAATTACTGTACTCCCTCGGGATTTTCAAGTTTTTAAACAATAATAAGTCGAATCACCCTACCCTTCCTCGAGAAGGCAAACATTGTTTATATTTTATAGAACGGAATAGATTGAAGGGTTAGTGAAGGAGGAAGCTATGAAAAGCTAATAGAGCGCCACAAAAACAAAAGAAACAAACCAGAGTAGTGCGAACAAGAACAAAAGCCAGCAAAGTTCGAATCAATCCCAAAGATAGTCGTTAGTCGTATGTTATAAGAAGAGCAAGTGATAACAAACTAAAATCAGATCAGTTTCTTCAATGTCTTCTTCTGTTTTCAGTTATTCCCAATTTTTATTTGGTTCGTTCCTAGGTTTGTTTGTTATGAGAAAGCGTTTCAAAGTCGCTGCCAGTTGGATCGGGTTATTAAGATTGGGTTTCTGCCAGTTGATGTACTCTTAAAGAATTCATTTTTGTGAGAAGATTAATTGCTGTTAATCTTAGTTCAGCACCAGTTCAGAGAAGTAAACGAGCTTAGCACTATTTACATACTCTTTGTTCCGTAAGAGCAGCTATACGATTAGCTCATTCGACAGTTGCCAGGTCGTTTTATAGCCCTGCTTATAGATCCATTCGAGCACAGAGACCAAGTCAAAAGTTAACTATAACTAACCAACATCCAATATCTAGTCAATTCGAGTTTACTTTTGCGACCTTTTTGACTATTTACAGTCCCAAAGGAAATACTCCTATCCCATGATCTTTGTACCCCGATCGGAAATACTTTTTTAACCATCTGACACAACAGACAAACCTTAACTTTTGTTTCTCTTCAATGTTGATATTCTTCTAACGTTTGATTTTTTTAATATTCTTTAATTTTAATTTATACGATTTAAATATTTTTTATGTATATGTTGATGCGTAATAAATATCGTAATATTATATAAATATATATATACAGAATAAAATAAATATAAAATTTAGTTATTCCTCTTTGGTTGATTTTTACTTATGTTTTCGAAATAATAACGATTCAAACTCTTCTTATCTACAACAGAACCTTAAATAGCCAATATCAGGGATAAACAAGCGAATACCTACTTTTAAAAATCAATTGCAAACGCAGCTACCTCAATGTTTTCAGACCGAAAACACGAAATAATGAGAATAATAGTTAAACAAATTATATGAATAAAATAAAATACCTATTAAATATGTTTATTGCATAGCAAACATGTATAATACAAAACAAAAAGCAAAACAACAAATAAAAACGAACTTTAAAAGTTACAACTATTTACATATGTTAACATAGCAGAAACCTCATAAAAATTACAAAAGTCCCCCCAAACCAAATGACTTAGACTGAAGCGTGAGTATTTCGCGAAAGCCGAAAAATGTTATGAGATCTGCCCAAAAACCAGAAATTTGTTAAGGTTTGTGTGGGCGGGGCTTTTGTCAGCATGAGTTCCACTTCACACTAACAAAAGAATAATAAAGAACCCACAATAAAATAATATTGCGAACAGAGATTTATTGATGACTCGAAAGTGTTTTCTTTTGTGCATCGATGGAAATTCAGGGGAAGAGATTAAATGTGGAGTACATATTAAATTCAAAACGGTATAAATGTTTAAAGGTAAGTGCCAATTCCTACTCCAAAAAAAAGTCAATGCTCTGGTTCCATTTAAGGTTTATTACCGATTTCACAGAATTAAATTTTTTCTATCTATTAAGCAGTTGATCCGATACAGAATTCACTTTTCACAGCATAATCACAAAGTCCAATACCATTTAGTGTGAAAGTTCTTTTAACAGCTTAAGAACTCAACTCATTCATTGATTTTTATGCAAATTGGGCACACTATACTAATAGTTAGTTTATTAAACAGGGGGAATTAGCATAAGGTGCAAATATAAGATGATCTTTCGATCAAACAAAAATATCAAATGAGCTATTTTAACGGTAGTTTGAATGATTATTCTTTATGGCCAGTCTTCAGAGCTCTTAGTCTATATAAAAGAAGACAATGATCTGATCTAAGTTAGTATACAACATGTCGTCGCATCTGGAAGTTCGCTTGGCGAACTGCATAATTTTGGTGGTAGCATTACTGTCAGTCTTCGGAGGTGTTAAGGCCAAGGATGATGCCTCTGTGCCTCGCCTGATTACTCTTCAAGCCGCCAGTCCGGCTCCAGCTCCTCCGCCCCAGGAAGTGATCATAGAGGAGAGCTACGATCACCATCATCATCATCCTCCGCCGGCTTATCCGCACAGTTACCCGTATCCACAGCCTCCGCCGCAGCACTGTCAGTGTCCGCCGGGTCCTCCAGGACCTCCTGGACCACCGGGACAACCGGGTCAGAAGGGCTATCCCGGAACGAAAGGATCTAAGGGTGATGCCGGAGAGAAGGGACCCCGAGGAGACAAGGGCTACCCCGGAATGCCTGGATTGCCTGGTCCTCAGGGTCCACCTGGATATCCCGGGGGTGCGTACCCGCCGTATCCCTATCCTCCTCCTCCTCCTCCTCCTCCCCCGTCATCTGGGAATGGAGGCAATGGAGGAAGCACTGGAGAACAAAATAGGTACTACGATCGGTTCTATGATGAGGAAGACCGTTATTACGGCAATGAGCGGGCCTTCAGTTTTATAGAAGACGATCAGATCGGCAATCAACCGGTCATCTTAGCCTTCAGTCAGCACAGGAATCACTTCACCCCAAAACTCAATAAAAGAATGAATTAAAAGTCATAAAAGTATTTTAAATAATTGCTTTTGCCTTTGGAGTTTTTCTGGCAAGAAAGGGATACAGGTAAAACACTCATTATAAATCATTATAGGTAACTTTTTAATATTCCGTTCTTTTTCTAAATTAGGAAAAGAAAATAGAAAACAAAATAAATTGGTTATCTTGAATCACGTTAAGTGATCTTAAGTTATAAGAAGGTAAAACCTACAAGACAATGCCATATCAACCTTCCAATTTAACGGAAATGTAAACGTTATTTAACAAACACTATCCTCACCAGTACAGAAAAACAATACGAAAGTCATTTTTAATCGAAACCTCTTTGTCAATAGATATTTGTTAAGTAATTTAAAATCTCACATTACATTAGGCAAATAAGCTATCTTAACTATTAGCAAACATCATCATCTATGACAGGGTGGTCGTCGCCCTCCTCCTCCGCTTCGTCATCCAAGGCCGCTTGGGAAGCACTAACCTCCGCGAAATCATCCTCCATATTATCCACGAAGCTGGAGACCCTATCAACACAAAGCAAACAGTCATTAAAAACAAATAACAAAGATATTCGCTGTCTGCCATCACTTTTCAAAGTCGCACTGAGGCAGGAGGCCATCTTCCTTTGAGGGGCTGAATCTGAGCAGCGTGCAGAGCCTGAGGACCCCAAGAAGTATCAGGAACATCCCGGCCACATAACTAAGCCACAAATTGTGGGGATACAGTATCAGGCAGATGCCGATGACCGCATAAACGGGAGTGGGTCGCCAGCCGCCACAAATCGCTGAAAGACGCCAGCAGGCCAAACAGCTGCAGGATCTCCGCTGGTAATTATCCCTGGAACAAATTAAATCCATAAATAAGAATGTGTATGGATATATTTACAGTACTAATTCATTACAATGGGAGACTGTTATTTAGTCCTTAAAGGGACACAGTCAAAAATGTGAGCTCTCGAGGTTTGACTGAATACATTATTAAACCCTTCCACAGAATTTTGGCTAGAAACTTTTAGCTAAGTGAAGGAAAAAGTTCCCATCTAACTAATTTATTTTTATTTATTTTATTAATACAATATAAGTATATAAGTATTTATTAGTTATTTATTTCGCCAATATTGTTTAGTTTTACTTAAAACGAAATCACAGGAACTGAATAAATAATACCTACATTGCTTATAAGGGCAATGAAATATAAACTGAAACTTGTCGGAATTATCTTTTTTCGTTTTGGACCTTATTTATTTAAGGTAATCACTTGTTAAGTGAAATATTTAATAAGAGGACCATGAAAAAAAAATTAAAGCAAATTCAAAGATTTTTCTTATATTCTAAAATACTCACTCTGAGCACTGAAGCTGCAGAAAAATAGTTACAAGCCACTTGATCTCAATGAACATTACCAGCACGGCTGAAAAACTAACCATAAATTAATACAATTCTTGAGGATATTGGACCTTTGGCTTACACTATATAAAGACCGGCCCGATAGCCGTGCATGTAGACATCAACGCCCACGCCGCAGATAACTGAAATGAAAAATGGCTTAAGAAAGTTTCGGGGCGGGGGGTCTTGTCTGCGGGTTGGAACGAGGAGTGTTATTCTTGAACGAGCCTATAAAATAATGCGATTTTGTCTAGGCAAATATATTTATAAGCATATTTATTGAGTTGGTCCTTTTTTGTTAACCACGCTCGGGCCATAAAATGTAATACAAAACCAATGAAAAGAAACGAGAGGGTTTCAAGAAGTTTGTGACGAAAGTAAAATTATTTGCTAGAACGTCCATCACTTTCTTTGAAAGGTAATTTTTCGAGTCAAACTCCTAATAATGTTGTTAAATAAAAAAAATATTTCAGATTAAACTAAAAGGAAAGCAAATTAATACTTAAGCAGATTTATAGACAAAAGGTGTGATTAAAATTGTATAAATAAAAAAAAGAAAATCGCAATAGTCGATGGCCTCGATTATCAAATACAAAGCAGCAAAGCGACTGCTCCCAATATTTTACACCACACCAACATGCCACCAAGCGTCTATTCCTTTATTTGAATGTAATCTTTAATGACTGGTCCGATTTAAATAATTTTTAGCATGCAGATGAGAATTAATAATGAGAACAAAATCCAATTTACACTTCAACAAAATCTTCAAAAAGGTGGACACTAAACAGGTTTTAGCGTTATTTGAGATTTGAAAGAATCTCTAGAACCTGCATGCCTAATCCCAACTTTCTAGCTTTTATAGTTTCCGATATCTCAGCGTTCATACGGACAGGCAGACGGACATGGCTGGTGATCCAAATCAAGAATATATATACTTTATAGGATCGGAAACTCTTCCTTCTATCTGTTACATACTTTCCGACGAATCTAATATATATAAGTATTATATATGCATATACGCTTTTACTCTTCGAGGAACAGGTATATACTTACTCGTAAGAAGTAGAAATATTTTAACCAATTTTTCCTATCTGAGTGAAGGGAAATATATAAATCTATTAGACACAAATATTTTTATAACTGTTAGATAATATAACAATGCAGTAGAACGGTCATTACAGTACCCTCTGCAAAATAAGAAAATATTCAATTTAATGAACCATTTTAATTATTGTCTTGAATTTATTAACTATTTGGCTTTCATTATAAGTGTAGAATTTAAATATGCACTTGTAGGCGGTTTATGTTCAAATTCTTAACGAATTAACATCCCAAAATTTGACATATACTTTTACCACCCTTTTAAATTTTTCTCAAACGTCCCTCTAAGATATTCATATTCTAACCGCATTATGGGCACGGTCCCCCATTTTGTCCCAACGAAATCCACTTCCAATGTGTAAGATATGGCCTAAAGGAAACACCACGCCCATTACCCCCATAAAAACCCAATCTAATTAAGTTGTTTTATTATGCCGAACCGCGAAAAACCAATCTGATAAAGCCAGTTAGATATATGCCCCATATTTAAATACAACTGCAGAACCGAAACCAAACCAATTACATTAAATGCTGTCAACGGAAAAAATCGAAAAAGCGGAAATCGAAAAAACATGCAAAAATTATCTGGATAATTGAAAGCGATGGAGGGAAAATAGATACCGGGGCAGAAGGAAAACTTGGCGAATGGCTGGCGCCAAAAGGCTAACAACAAAGCTCATTGTCGACCGTATGGAAAAGTTGCTGATAGGGGGAAAATCGGGACGGAGGAAATTCTGCTCTTGGCACAGGATGCGAGTTGTGAGCTGCAAGCTGCACTGAGGCCAATGCCTTGTTAATGGCTCTGCCGGAGAATTTCCTCGGGAACCCCCTTCTTTCTCCTCGATTCTGCGGGGTTTATGAACTACATCAAGATCTTATACTTTGTTTTTCTGCGTGCCACTGCATCCATAATAGACCCCAAAACAATTTGCAAAGAAATTAGTTTGAACTTGACCCAAAGTTTTTGTTATGCTGCAGCCGGCCATTTATCAAATTCTAAAAAACGAGGGTGCACTATTTTAAGCGCATTAGGGAAATGTCGGATGGTGCCGGAAAATCGTTATGATTGGCCGTGATAAGCGTTTAAGCCAACTTTGATAACTGCAGCAGATGGACGGAAAAGTGCGACGAAAAAATTTGATTGGATTTCTTTAGTTTGGAATGCGGAATGCAGTATGAAAAAAAAATTAAAGAGTGAAAAAAGGCATTCAATATTGGTTTCATGAACACAAATTTTTATTATTAATTACATCTACTTTTTTATCTACTATTTTACATCGTCAATCTATTATTTTTCTAGGCTTGTTAAATAAATTAAATTTGCCTTGTTGAATTCACACACAAATGCCAGCTGGCAACACAAAAACTATTGTCTCTACTTTACCAGAAATAACACAACGAAAAGCTGGCTTCAACGAATAATTCATAATTAAATTGTACAAAATTGTCGAGAAAAAATATGTAAATGAATATTTCACGGAATGCTATTTTAAACTAAACCAAAATGTTATCTTCATCAGAATTTATTGCCATATGCAAGCCAGCATTTAAATACAAATCAAATTGTTTAAGATAATTACTCAAAAAAGGTTTATTATTATGTATCATGCTTAAAACGCATCAGTGCTTATACGATTATTTGCTCTGTCTTTTATTTGAATTTATGTTCCTCGGTCTGCCCAAGCAAATGCATAACTTTTGTGTACGAGGAAAATTTTGTATTGAAAGGAACAATGAAAGCAGCCAATAACAACATGTCCCTATTCAGCATCTTAGCCATACAATTCCCATTCAGTGCCAAGAAATAAAATAAGCCACAGCACTCAACAAATCCTGAGGCTACGGTTTCTATGCACAAGCATTTCCTACGATTTGTCAAGGGTAAACATTCCGAAAAGGGCCAGAAAAGCTGTGCATATGCATATTTCTACTCATATATTCATGCACATGCATCATCATAACCCCATATCGTGATTGGCATTATCTCGAGACGGGGGGTCACCTGGGCACCGAGGAGTTTCATTTCCCTGGCATGGATTCCCGGGCACTTGAGCTTACCGAATGAAGTCAGCAGACCAAAAACCCTTATCACAGGACGTAAACACTCGCAGGGCTCTGCGGACTGATGACGGTGATGGTGACGTCCGCGGCGAACGCGCTGCGTTTGCAGTTGCATTTGACTCATGGCTAACTGGTGTAAATATTTAACTATATGAACTATTACAGCTATTAAAATTTATTTCTTTCACTCGGGTCTTCAAAGTTACAGCTCAAATGTTGATTATTAAGACAAGCAACAAGGTATTCTTGGCTATGGGTTGTTTTAAATGCTTATATTTTGTTTAGTTGGGTAAAATACAACTTTTAAATTCCTGTACTTGTACTGTTTATTTATTGAACACTTATAACATATTCAGTTTTTCATTTTAATTTGTGTTACATGTTATTATATTCACTCTACATTTCTCTAAATACTTTTATCCGGTTCTGGTTATGCTACTGTTTAAAGGAATCGCTAATAAAACAATCAAAGAGCCGTATCCACATCACAAAAATTCACTACGTGCTCGGCATACCAAGTGGCCAAATAAGTTTGCGACAAACATTTTCAATTCAAACTCGAAAGCTCGTTGGGCTCTTAAATTTAAGCATTTAACTCGGGCATACGCTGCGTATGCGTAATGTGACACTTTTCGCACCTCTCCTCCCACGGCATTTAATCACCGGTCCGTTTGTACCTGTGTGTGTGTGCCAACTAATGTCTGCAAATTACCGTTACCATTTGCACTTTGCCCCCGCACGTTGTGTGCCCTCTGTTTTTTTTAAGGTTTAAATTTTATTTTTTATTTTCGTTGAATTTTGTGTGTGTTTTTTTTGTAAAGTGCCACTTTGCCACTTGACTTTATAACCGAGCTCTAAACAACGAACGTCCGCACGCTTCCAGCAGCGCCAGCTGAATGAGACTGAATGAAAGGACCCAGCAAGGAATCGTTTCTATTCCGGAGTCAGGATCCAGAGTCGCCGCTGAGGCTGCTTTCCTACTGCCACTGACTTTGTAGCCAAGCGCCAGCCAATGGGGCGCTGCATTCGAAACTGGTGGGTTGATTTGTTGCGAGGGGACGCTCGTGCTTATTTCTATTTAAATGCTTTCGCAAAAAGCTCGCTTTTTATGCCGAGATTTATGGAAACCGCAAATATTTTCGGTGGTTTTTAGAGACATTTTTAATTGCTACGTTGTCTTTGACACTAAAAATTGCTTATATATAAAGTCGTAATGTTCCTAAGAATGCCTAGTAGGTTGATTGATATTTATAAAAATTACTTTGGAATAAATTTATTTTTAAAAACTATATTAGAATTTATGATAACTAAAATAAGTTGTTTTAGGTAAAGGTATGTTCAAGATACGATAATATAATATCAGATTTCAGAATTAAGAATTATTTTTAAATTATTTTTGATTTTTAGTCATATTATTTTTAATTTGCTTTTTTATATAAAATAAAATAAGTTTTTATCAAGTAATACTTGTTGCATTGACCCAAAAAGACACACTTTTAAGGTGTACCCATTTGAATACATTTTATAAAGAGAATATAATACGATTAAGTTATAAAAAAGCAACATTGTTTCATAAATATGATATGAGATATGAAACATCTATATAAAACAACTCTGCTTTTTTTAAAAACACACCTAGTCTATAGCGCCACCTATATTCTTCTTCTATAGCGCCACTTAGCGGCTTGGTTGAATTGCAAAATATTGATTATTTTCTTGTTATATTTTTTACACGAATGTTCCGATTTCAATAATTTGGATAGATGTTGATAATACGAACAAACTCTCATTTAAATTTATACAAAAAATTAAAAAATGTGGGCGCTAGACAGGTTCTAGTGTTATAGTCGTTTGTGGGCCTTATAGTGGGCGTGGCACCCTGCCGAAAAAAACTTGCGCTGCCCTGGAATCCCAAGAATCTGCATGCCAAGTCCCAATTCTCTAGTGTGAACTTGGTGTAACCCTTTATTAAATTCTTAGGTTGCATATCTAATAAACATAAACTATACTCGTAATAAGTTATTTATAGAATGTTACTTAAATATTAATATGGAAGGCCATTTAAAAAATGTTTTAAACTCGGAGCGTACGGCATTGGCTCAGTCTTTAAGGACCTGCAGTTCTTCCTACCAATGCTAGCTGATTTTATTTGTCACGTTGTCCTGTGTGTGATGCCCCTCATGTTGTTGCCACTGCTGCCGCTGGTGTGGTCCTGTGTGTGCGTGCCCTCGTCCTGCTGGTCCTGCCATTCTGCGGAGCCCCTCACCCGTCCTTGGCCACGTTTCGGTAATTTTCATAACTGGCTGAATGAGGGGCGGAGTGGCGGGAGGCGAAAAGCAGCTCAAAGACGACCAGGAGCAAAGCTGAGCAATTGCCAAGTGGCAGGCGAGTACGCAGAGTGTGGACAAAAACATTTTCGGCTGCCACACCGCCCTCAACCTCATATATTAAATGGGGAAAAACTCGGGGGGAGCAGGAGTACATTTTTTTTAGCCCCTCCGCTTATTGTGCTGTGCATTTGCTAAGGTGCCTATCGTCAGACTTGTTTGCATTATGCGGCGTTAATGACATCCAAAGTGGGAAGCCGCCCCGCGAGGAAACTCTCTACTGTCGCCGCCATCTACGACATAATTCACAGCTACCCCACACTCAGAAAATTTAATTTCCGTAAACTTCCTAGTAACGAAACACTCGTCCTTGACAACGTGTCCTGCAGTTAAAGGGTTTTTTAAACGTGCGATTGCTGTTTTCTAATATCTGATATGTTTAAATGATATAGTAACAAACAATTATAAAAATAAGATCTAAAATCAACGCGTTTTTTGTTTTATGTAAATGTTTTATAAGAGGTTCAACAAAATGTTTACTCAAATATGATATTATTTTATTGTATGGTCAAAAATATATTTTATATTATTTATTTCATAACTTCCATGCCCCGTTTGATGTTATAATACATCATTCTACAATTTTCCCTTTAACGAAAATTAAAATATTTTTCTAACACAAAGCCCTTTTACTTGAATAATATTCGATTTTTTAGACGTAAATTACTTTATACGTTCTGTATATGTGTTATGAACTTCGTTCCTGTAAATCATTTTTGATTCTTTTTTTACTTCTTCCTTGCTTTGATGATAATTGTAACCCTTGCATAGAGTACTATATTTTTTTGAGTGCATGCCATGCTAATGATGCTTCCGCGAAGCTCACTTGGGAAACTCCTTGCGCCGCTTCATTATCTTGGTAATCCCGGCCACCATGGCCACCTCGGGCAGCGACAGCTTGGCATCCTCTTGGAAGTCACAGCGTCGGGTTAAATGCAGCCAGGTCCTTTCCGGATTCAAGGACAACGGCATCTGCAGCCAGCTAACGTAGTCTATTTTCAAAGAGCCCGTGAGCAGCTGGTCGAAGGGGGTGTTCCCAATGAAGAACATGGACCTCAGAACCGAGGTCTTGGCCTCCTTGATGTTCTGACCCTGGATGCCTTGAAAAGGACTCGGATCATTGTCACCCGTTCCCAACTGCTCAAGCAACCAGTCCTTGTTGAATTTCAGGTAGTTATACACCACTTTCAGGGCCTGCTTTCCTATGTTTGTGGTCAAAACATCGCTGACCAGGACTTCGGCTATATAATCAGCGATTCCCACATCCAGCTCCATGGCGTAATTATTTGGTGGACTGTGGCTCAGGCGATCCGATTCTGCATTTGTCAGGGCCAAGTCATCCATTTTGATCGTACTTACAGCACTCATTCCTCCAGCCCCCCGATTATTGCTCCCTGGTGTTCCTCCGAAATCCGTGTCCAAGTTAATACTCTCCTTAGCCTGTTTAAGAAATAGCTCTATTTGATCCGTATGTTTGTCGTCCTCGTCAATTGAGCAAATGGCCTCCGATATGGAATAACAAATGGCGGCCTTGTCCTCATTTTTAGCTGGTTAAATTTAAATATGAACAGACAATTCAAAAATAATCTAAAATATTTTTTAAAATTGTATATGTACTATTAACTCACCCTGTTCATAAGTCTCTGCTGTTTTGACCAGTTCTGTATAGAGTGCTGCAAAAACAACCTGCAAAAGCACGGAATCCCCCAATGGCCTTGTCGAGACTGGTATGATGTCCTGAAGCAAGGAGGCGATTTTGTACAGACCCTCGGGAAGGCAGTCCCAGATTTCGGAGACACACGTTAGAGCTAAAGACATGGCCTGGTACATGCTCGCTCCATTTTCCACGGCATTGACCAACATGTCCACCACACAATCGAGAACAGGGTATACGAAGTGCATGATGGCCTCCAACCAGGGAGTTCGCTTCTGGTTCCACACCTGCCTTTTGTCCAGGCAGTCGCTCCAACCTGCGATCGCGTGTTCCTCCAGGGTTTTAATCAGACAGGACTTAATGTCCACCGCCTTGCCAACAGCTACCACTAAATAGGTTAGTGAGAGGACTATCTGATAGTTCGATTGACCCACGGGATCTGGATAGAATGAAATTGAAGTAATAAATCTATATTCCACCTTATATATTTATAATGTTATATTGTTATATATTTCATATAAACATCTCACCTATATCCCCTGCTATAGAGTCGGTGACATTGAAGCACTCCCCGCGACACAAAAACGCCTCGCACTTTTGAGGGGCACCCTCTGCGCTGGTAAACGATATCTTTGCTACGTTTTTAAAGTTTTCCGAAGAGGGTAAGTACTGCATCAGGTGGCGCATTATAATGCCCGTGAGATAGGCATCTCTCATCAAAAGAATTTTTAACAGGTAAGACCAATCTGCCTCTGGAAAGGCCAGTAAGACCCTCAAATCCAATGAAATAGCCGTGTTGGTTGAAAGGTCGGAGAATTCGGTGACCCATTGACAGGACTGTTCCTTGGGAAAATATCGGGGAAGTGCGAAAATGGTCCAAGCACTTGGCAAGCCGTGGCGAGAGCTAAACATTTCCATGTTGTCCAAGCCTTTGCGGAAAACCTAAAAAGATTTGAAGTACACCCATATAATCAGAAAATATCTTCTAAGGTTTCTTCAGAAATCTATATCAATATCTATCAATGCTCCAACTTATTAAACCTATTTGCATTACCTTCGAAAGCACACCCAATGGAGAACCCCTCAGGAGGAGGCAGTAGAAGAGCTCCCTGCACTTGGCGTGGATATCCCTTATAATAACACTCTGGTTACT